CAGCATCGCAACATCAAGTGCTCTAATTCTGCTCATAGATTCATACCAAATGCTAACATAGGAGGGGATTAAACCCAGAGGAATTTTCAAGAGGGATCTACTTTTAGAAGTGGTCAGTAATTGATTATAGAAGCTGATACAATGACTCATAAGAAGCAACCAAGACAAAACATTCGGCCAAACATCTATTCTTTAACTCATCAGGAACCTAGAAAACCTATTGTCACTGATGTAGATGCTAATATGGTCAAAGTGATTTATCTTTTAGGTGTCCTGTTAGTTATCTTATATTGAGTACTCTTATGTGCTTTCTTTTAGAAGTTGAGTGTTATGTTAGTTATCTTGTTTAGGATGTGTTGATTTTATTTTAGTTATATTATTATGTTTCATATATTTGGGGATTGTTCAGTTGAATTATCTTATCTTAGTTATTGGATTTATCGTATTTGTTTTTGATTAAGTTATTTCATCTTCATAATATTTAGCTTTTGTGAAGTTCATATACTTTGAGGACAATTTTCATAAGGAGGGAGATTATAATAATAAAAAAATATAATAATAACTTAATAAGCTAGTTCGAATGAGAATGAACCGTCATTACGCTTGCGTCGTTTGGAGAATAATAGTTTAGTCTCGTTTTAATCAAGAAGGGAGTAAGATCAGAGGTAATACAGAGAAGTGAAGAATGAGGAAAAAGGAAAAAGGAGGTGTCTCGTGCTTTTCAAACTGAAGGTTCGTTGCGGGAAGTTGGTGTCGATGGTGTTTTGTGCATTGGAGGAAGGGAGCGGGAGATGAGTAGGGAAATGTTGATTGCAGGAGAGAAAATAGTTGGTTTGTGTGTCTCGCGTGAAGAGGTTGCAGCGCGCTCCTTAAGGGTTGTTGCGTGCAAATTCTAAACAAAAATCATGATCGGTTGTCGCGAGCACGTGTTTGTGGGTGAGCAGGACTAGAGTGAGCGACATTAAGGATTGAGCGTCGAAATCGTGTCGAGCAAAATGAGGAACGAGCCACAAAGCCTTGCGAGCTTGGGCAGATGTTAGATTAGAGCATCATTTTCGACAAAGATAAAATCTTAACTTTAGTTTTACTATTCTTTTAACTAGATTTTATTAATATTGAAAATTAATTGAGGAAATATCAAAAGCTAAGTATAAAGCATAAACTCCTATAAAATTTTAAAGGAATGAAACCTTGATAAATTATATTTATAAGTTATTCTTTAATTGGAAGAATTTTATTATGCATATTTTGTGATGCAAGAATTTCATAGAAACAAATATCACTCTTTATTTAGTGAAGTTTTATGAACTAGATAAAAATATTATTATCTAAATGTCTATCATCAATTTTAAAATTTATTTAATCATAATAAATGCTTGTCCAGGAAATTATTTTCTTCGAATGTATATTTATATAATCATAATTTTATAATAAGAGAACTAAATTATAGTATTTTTATTTTCAAGTTATAGTGGTTATAATTGATGAAGAATATTCATTTTAAAATAAATAGTAAATAAACTAAATTCTATTTTGTAAAATTTATAGAACATTGTCTGTAATTTAAAATACTAAAATTTAGGATAAATAGAAACTTTTGGGATAAATCAATTATCAATTTTCTTATAAAGTCAAATATTAGTTTCGACGAAAGAGAAGTTTTTGTATAACTTAAGTAGAGTATATATATATGTCAAGATAATTAAATATTTTGGTTAATTATAACTTCATTGGTTTTAGATTTAGGTTGTGTTTGGTGCAGCTTGTGCTTATCCAGATAAGTCATCTATCTGGAAATGCGGACCGCGGGGTTCGACCCAGGCGGCGTTTTCAAAACGTCGTCACAGTGGATAAACTGCCCCAAATGGAGTCTTATATTTTTTTGTGGTTTACAAATTAATTAGTATCAAACAGAAGTGATCAGAAACATTAAGATCATCCTAAGAATCAAGACTTCAAAGATATTTTAGTTAAATAATTCTTTTTGGAAATTTCAGTATTTTTTTCTTATTTTTTTAATGTATATTCATATTTTCAATTTTTCACATTTATGATCTATATAGTGGGATTTAGACTACAACTAATTTTTTTAATATTATTTTATATGAAGCATGTATGTGTTAACTCTAGTGCATAAATAGTTAATATTAGTTTACTTAGAAAGGCATTATATTATGTAATGACATTTAGATTGCAGTGGATATGCATATCTTATCTTTACATAACATTTTGAAGTATCCATGTTAACAATCCTACATAAACTGTTGAATAATGGTTTAACTATGAAGTTATTAGACTATTGTCTGTCCTTTTGATTTTAGTAAAAGTGCATTTTTTCATTAGTAGATTAGTGCAATGTGTTACATAAGAAAATAATGTATGTTGCGGAGTATGAAAATATTGTATACATGAATATTTGCATGTGCATGCTAAGAGGGTTAGTTCAACCTCTTATGGTACTGGCTGAGGATGCCAATGTACCCGCGTGCTTAGATATTTTCATACTGTCTCAGATAATTGTAAAATTTATATCACTAATCGCTGTGTCGACAAAAGTGTATTGGCCAGAGGTGAGTAGATACCCTGCTACCTCAAACAATTATGAAATTTAAATATCTAACCACTATGTCGATGGGAGAATATCGATAAGGGGTGAGTAGACACCTTTCTACCTCAACAATCGTGTAATTTAGATTATGAACCTCTATCAACGAGATAATATCTGCCATGAGTGTGTTTTGTATGTTTTGACGGTGCTTCTAAGATGGATGTGAAAGTTAAGAGAATGAAGTGTATGAAAGCTTAAGAGATTGCACATTAAAAAATAAAGTAAAATAATGCATATAAAATTTTAAATTTCTTTCATGAGCGAACATACGTCATGAACATATGATATAAACTATTATATTATTTTCTATAATATATTAGGAGAGACTAATATACATATTGTATTTTTTTATTTGGGTTATTGTTGTTTAGAAATGTGATTATTTCACTGGGTTATCTTGAATAACTCATTATGCTATTTCAATGTTTAAAATTGCACAATTGGGTATTGAGGTGCTTTCCATTTATGAGTGGAGGCGTAAGCATTGAGGCGATTGGAGGCATAAGCTTCACAATTTAAAGATTTTGTAAATCAAAATAAAAGGGTAAAAAATATTTTATTAACATTATAACTTATAGATGTATTAAAGAAAGACATTAACATTCTAGCTTAATAAGAAATGATAAATTGTATTCATATGAAATAACAAATTGCTTAAATAGTAAATTTTCATGTAACAAATTACACAAAAAAAGGTAAGCGTCAACTGCTTCGGTCATCTAACTAACATTAAATATGAAATAAATGTATTATAAAATTTCTAAGTAAGACATAATTTAAGTTTAGCATAATATACTTATCTCTCATATTGTTCAACCAACATGATAACATCCATGAGATCTATATAAGAACATAACAAATAATTAAAATTTGGAGCAATAAAAGACGACGATAACAATAAGAGCAACTGGCAACGGTGGCTGCAGCAAATCAGCAGTCGACAATGGTTGCAGCAAGAGTAGTAGGCAACGATGGCTGCAGCAGAAGTAGCAGGCGACCATGGCGGTCGAAACAAACAACTGTTGTAGCAGAAGTCGCAAGTAGCAGTTACGATGCTGACAATAGAAGTAGCAAGCAATAGTGGTTGTGCCATCTCAACAGATTAGGAAGAGGGAAGTTCTTGCACATGAGATTGTGGTTTTGGTTCGCATTCGAACTATATAATATAGGGGAAAAAATTAAAAAGCGTGAGAGGCGCACACCTCAACATAATTGAGACGAAACGTGCCTTGAGGCGCACCTCAACTAATGTGAGGCGTACGTGTCACTTAAGTTGCTTGAGACGTAAGCCTTGAAGCATTTTTCTTCAAAATTGCATTGAGGCGTGCCTCAAATTATGCAATTTTAAACAATGTGTTGTTTTAATAATTCGTAGATTTAGGCTTCTTTACTTTGGATAGAAGATGAATACTAAAGGAGATATGTGTACAGATGGTGAGGGCATCCACTTGAAAAGTAAACTTTTATTTGTTAATTAAATTGCTTTCTGTAATGGTTTTTAATTAATTTTTGAACTGTAACTATTGGTAATAGAAATTAAATATTGAAGATTTTAAATTTCACTGTCCGACTGTTTGTTTCTGTCTTTGTATATTCCAACCTCACCTTATGAAATTGAACTGCTTTGTCATTGCCTTTGAGGGAAAGATGGTATTGTATGTATAGCTCGAAATGTGCTCATCAATGTGTCATGCCTTTTAGCTAGCTTTGATATGAATTTGTCAAGCTAAATGCAATCTACTAAAGTTTTACCTTTGTACATATCTTTATTGCTATCTCTACTCGTGGTTTTCTTGAATCAATCTATTAAATACTTTTTTATTTAGTTTATTATGTTCTTCCAAAATAATCTATTTATTAAAACTTTCATCAATAATTTCTCAAATAGAATTTTCATCTTTATTTGATGCCTTTTATTTAATAGAAATGCCATTGTTTTTACGTTTAATATTTAATTTGATCGGAATCTCTAGATCTTTTATCTATTTTATTTACTTGTTTTTTTTTATTTTTGATTGTGCCAACTCTGTTATATAAATCATCGAATTTGTAAGTTTTGTTTTGCTCATTTTACTCTTCACAAGACTTATAACTTATTATTAGTTTTAGCCACAATATTATTTAATTTTTGCTGTTCTTGAAACATGTTTATCTTACCTAATAACTTATTGCCCCTTACTACAAGTTTCCTTAGCAATTCATGATATGTTACAAGAATTAGTTCTAGAAAATTTAAATTTGAGTTCATTTCACTAGGTTTAACATTAGTTTAATAATTGGTTATTTACTTAGCACCAACCTTCAACCATTCTCATATGGACTTAGACTGGCCACTTCAACCTTTCTCACAAGACTTATAACTTATATAGTGTGTTTTTTCTTTTTGTTTCAGGTAGCAAGAGCGGGTCAATCTGTTACAATTGTGGGTTCAAAGCTAATAATGTTTGGGGGGGAAGACGAAAAAAGACAGTTGCTAAATGACCTCCATATCCTTGATTTGATCACTATGACTTGGGATGTAGTGGAAACTAAGTACCATTCTTTTTCTTTTCATTTGACTAGATTTCTTTTAGTTTATTTTATTTTATTTTCTTAAAACTCTTTTATATTGAATAAATAGGAATGTTCCGCCGTCACCAAGATTTGACCATACAGCCACGGAATATGCTGGACGGTACTTATTTATTTTTGGTGGATCCACTCAGTCGTTATGTCTAAGTGATCTTCATGTCTTGGACTTACAGAATGTAAGGTTTTTTTTTTTTTGGAGATTTACATAATACCACTCAATTCATATATATTTACATATCTAAAACCAAAACTTCACTTTTTACATATATGTCGCCCTACCTACGCATAAAAAGGTGTTTTTTATTCTTTGGAGTCTAAAGACCTTCATTTGAGTAGAACTAAAACTGAATACATGGAATGTAATTTTAATAGTAGTAGTAGCTCTATTGATAGAGTTGTAACTACAGGTGATCAAATTATTAAAAAGTGTGAACGTTTTAGATATCTCAGGTCTATTATTCAAAGTGATGGTGATATAGATGGGGATGTTATTAGTAGAATTCAAGTTGGTTGGTTGAAGTGGAGGAATGCTTCGGGCCTATTGTGTGATAGAAAAGTACCGCTTAAATTAAAAGGAAAATTTTATAAGATTGTGATGAGACCTGCAATGCTCTATGGCGCAGAATGTTGGCCTTTAAAAGAGAAGCATAAAATTAAGTATTGTCAAGATGAGAATGCTTAGATCGATGAGTGGCTTTACACTTAGAAACTAAATGCGAAATGAATATCTCCGTGATAGGGTTGGTGTAGCTTCAGTGGTGGACAACATTAGAGAGAGTCGTCTTAGATGATTTGGTCACGTTAAACGTGACCAACTAATGATCCGGTTAGAGAGCACATGTTTTAGATTTGACTTATGTTAAGTATGACGGAGGTATACCTAGAAAGACTTGGGCATATTGTATAAAAAATGATCTTAATTTATTAGAATTAAATGAAAATACGTCACTCAATAGGACACAATGGAGAAAAAGGATTCATGTAGCCGACCACACTTAATGGAATAAAGGTTTCTTATTGTTGTTGTTGTTGTTTGATGTGATATGAAAGATTTGGGTGGCATAGTTGCATAAATGTAAAAAGTAAAGTTTAGGTGTTAGATATGCAAATATATAGGAATTGGGTGGTATGTTTGTAAATGCCTCTTTTTATTTTCCCATGAGATTTGTTTCTCTAGCGATTCATTTTGCAGCTTGATTTATATGGGATTGAAGTTGACCTAAAATGCTTATTCAAGTGCCAAAATAGTCCTTTGACTAACTACATAGGGCTATTTTAGCCTTATCTATAATAGTGTCAAATTAGTCCCTAGACTCCTTTGATATGAGCTGAAATAGTTACCAATGAGAACTGTTTTAGCTCCTCTTAAAAGAGCATGTGGACTAAATTGACATCTTTATGAACTCTAGGACTAAAATGACCCAGACAAAGATTCAGGGGATCATTTTAACACTTTTCTCATGTTTATTTGATTCTAGACTATAGACACTTATAATTGATTGCAGATGGAGTGGTCTCAGCCTGACGTGCAAGGTGTTGCTGTGACACCTCGAGGTGGTCATGCTGGTGCAACTGTTGGTGATATGTGGTATATAGTTGGTGGTGGAAACACTACAAGAGGTGAGTATGCTTCAGCTAACAATTCTTTTCTATTTTGGGTTATTCTATTATCTAAATGTGTAATCTTTCTTTGTTATTTATTCATATTAGTTATGTAATTGTTATTAACTGCTTTTACATTGTTGTATTTTACATGCATGCTTATGCAGGTGCCACTGAAACTATCGTTTTAAACATGTCTAAACTTGCCTGGTCAGATGCTACAATGGTTACCACACAACATCCTCTTGCCAGTGAGGTTAAACTACTTGCTTACTGTTAAAATTTTATATTCTAATTTTCATTACTAGTATTTTTGTTTTCTGGATTTAGTCCATCTGTAAGTTTATGCTCATTAGTGTTTTCTGGATTTGCAGGATTGTGTTAAAAAAATTTGATTCTTGATATCTAAATTTTTTAGTTGGAATTTGCTACTTTTTATGCACTCAAATGACCGTATTTCAGCTCCTAAAATCCCTCACTCCATTCAAATTAATATTATTTACGTTTTTTTCTGTGCAGCTTTTTTTTTCATTCTTCCATATCACTAACATATACTATAACAAACATTTCAAAAGTAAAATTTTATATAATTGATAGAAATGTTTAAAACAGTTAATTTAAACTTCCAGAATGCTGTAATGCTATACATGATAGAAGACTGACTTCATCTAGAATTTTAAAATATAACAATGAGGAGTAAACCGGGAATGAAGTGGAGCTGTTCTGAAACTAATTCAGGTACGAGCTCTTATAAGGTTAAAAATTGACTCTATGGTCTATTTGAGAAGCAGTAAGGTCATGAAGTTGGGATATGATGTTGGATTTTCCAATTGATAATAACTTATGCTTGCATAGAGAAGCATACTGAATTGGCGAATGAACTCTTAGAAGGTTGGAGAATTATTTCTGCCATTTAATTTGAGACGTAATGCTTTTAAATTTGGGGCTTGTGATATTGCTCTGTAGACGTTGCAGCCTAGGGAGGATTAATTGATGTCTTGTTAAAGCTTTGCTGAGTTGATTGATTAGTTTTGAAATGTGATATTTTAGAAGATTTACATACATACCGCTTAATTCATATGTACTTACATATCTAACACCTAAACTTCAATTTATACATATATGCCATCTTGCCTATGCATGGAAATGTGCATTTTCACTTTTTAAAAGTTAAAATGGCGTTATTGTATTTGTGATTTAAAAAATTTTGATGTTGTAAATGTAAATAGATAGGAATTGGGTGGTATGTATGTAAATGCCCCTATATTTTATTATTATTTAGTTCACTTTTTCTGAATGCTTATTCAAAGAGGGTCTAATTTAAAGTGTGTAATTTTTTTTATATTGATGAATAAGTCCATGGGCAGTTTGGCAAATTGAGTCTACCAGGACGATATAGGCAACTAGTGGCTCAATTCCCTTCATCTAACAACAAATTCAATCTTCCACAGGATCAGGGATTTCTTGAATACTACGGCTATTTTATGATTATTGTAATGTTGGCTACTATTTTCATAATTGCCGTCTCTTCATGGGTCACCCAAATCTATTTAGAGGTTCTACGCCTTTAGTTCCACCCTGAAGAGTTACTCCAAGTTTTGACCCTTTTTGATATTTCATGTATATTTTATGTTTGAACCTATGCATTGTCCTAAGTCCAAGGATTTTGTTCCCAGTTTGTGTTGTTCATTAAATTCGCCCATATTGAAGTGTTAGTGTTGTTTCACTTGATTTCATTGTGTCATTAAGTTTATTTTGTGTCTGATTTGTGCTTGTTAGATTTCTTGTAATCTGTTGTTCATCCTCCAAATCAGTTGGTTGCAATTCTGAGAGTTGCTTGCTTTGCTCATATTGCTTCTATCCAAAGGTTTTTTTGTCTAAATTTGATGATAATTTTTTGAGCTCATCAACAATATACTTATGTTATATTTTTGTTTTGCTTTTATCTTTATCCATATTTTTTTTTTTTGCATTATTTTGGCAGCGGTCCATCATATAAACTTTACAAGTCTTCATTTTCACCTAATATTTTACCAATGTCTTTCTGGGGTCATCAAAGGCACATTTTGGGAATTTTACAACTTATCCTAAAATACTTGTACCAGTGACATTCAACCTTAGCTTTATTGGGCCATTGAAGATATGCAAAACTTGTGGTAAATGTTGAGGTCATGGAGACTTGGGCATCTACATCACATGTTAGAGGTTACTTATGGTTGGTTTCTCGGTCATTAGGCATTTGATGATTAAAGAGCTTGTGATCGACCATGAAAGTAGAATAAAGAAGAATAACTTATAAAAAAAATTATTATTATTTTTACCTGTTAAAATTTGGGTAAAATACCCATAAAGGCTTCTTTTTCTTAGGCTGATGTCATGATGATATTTCAACACCACCCCCATATGTTCTTAATGATGAAAAAATTTCTTTTTTTTGGATTTTCAAAATTGTGAAATTCTATACATTTTTTATGATAAATTCTTAATTGCCCTCTCCTTTTATAAGCCATTCAAGGAAGGAAGATGTTCCCACTTGGAGATGTTGGACAAAAGAAATGAAGGGTGGGTAAAATGAACTATTCAAGTTAGACAAGGGTGGCTCCTAATTGCGCACGTGCATTGCATCTGCTTTTTACTATTTTTGTTTGTCATGTTACCATTATTCTTCTTTTTTTCTCTTTTGTTTATACGACGATTTTCTGAGTGGTTGATTTTTCTTCTCTTTTTTAATATTCATTATTATTATTATTATTATTTGGACTCTTTTTTTCTCATTATTTTGTGTTAGCTGCAAGCCCCATTGAGTGCAATTCAAGGTGAGCTAACTTTGAACATGGTGCTGAGGCCAGAATGGAGTGTAACCAAAACTTACTCTCAGAGCGATGCCATATAAACCTTTTTGAATATGCTTAGAAGACCAAAAATGCTCAACACTAGGTAAGGTCCATAAAAAATTTTAGGATCAAAACTTCCTTTTTGAGTGCTGGCTAAGCAACGCCAAGAATATTTTGGTGTCCTAAGTACCATGTGTAACATTTTCAAGGTATAATGAATAAGAGTTGGTGCGGTAAGTGACTATTTTACTGGATGTATTATTTATCTTGTACTTCATAACTTGAAAATCTTACGGTGGTTAATTGTATGCTGATAAGCATCGAATCCAAACTAACTTGTTCTCAAAACAATCTGGACTACTTCTATTGAAGGCAAAATGTGATTGACATCGTTCTAGAAATTATTTTTTTTTGTTATTTTTTTACATCAATTTCCATTCTTCTTATACCGTTAGCTTATCTGCTTTCTAATTTGAAGAGAGTTGATGCATGTTGGGTGTGTTTCATGTGTTTTCTGTTTCCTTTTTTTGATATAGTGCAGTTGAATACTTGGATTAGTCTACTTTATAAGTTGTGCAGAGTAGTTTTTGCATTTTGGGTCATGTAGTAATATCTCTATCAAAGTATAGGTCTTCCCTAAGTTAGTGTTTTTCAAAATTGTGCTTATGCCTTGACTGGTGCTTTGCAGGGCCTTAGCCTTTCTACAATATCCGTAGATGAGGAGAGTCTGCTGATTGCCTTTGGTGGCTACAACGGCAGGTACAGCAATCAGGTAAGTTGGTTCCTCTGTTTTGCAAAAACTAAAGGATTCAATTCGTGGGTTAAACAGTGCAAATTAATAAGCACCTAATTAAAGTTTACTTTTGATCATCATCATCATTATTAGCTTAGCCTTATCCCAACTGTTTGAGCTCCATGACCGATCGCATAACTTAATACATAAAGCTCATGCAAGTGTAGGGTATAGGGAGTTGATTCATGTAGAATTACAACTTCGTCATAGGGAAGCTATTTTGTGAATCAAGTCATGATCCCTAGGGTTTTTTTGGGATCTATTTTGTATTTTGTTTTTGTTTTTATTTTGGAGTTTTTACATACCACACAGTTCTTACGCATATGCATATCTAACACCTAAACTTCAATTTTTACATGTCACCTTTCCTATGCTTGGAAAAAGTGAAATATACCTTTTTATGCCTAGGTAGCGTGACATGTATAGTGTTAGATATTATTAGAAGTTATTTATATTTATTTTGTTGTCTTTTCTGTTATTTCTTTTTATATATATTTCCTAACTTATGCCTATCTTTTTTTTCTTTTGGGTGTTATTAGGAAAGATTAGGATAATATATCATTCATTTTCTATATCTCTCGTATCATGTATTTATACTCATTTTGATGCAATAATATTATTTTGCTCTATTCTCAAAAGTTAGCATGGTATCAGAGTTATGGTTCTAATCCTAACCGCCGTTGGGACTTTTTCCTAGCCACTGGACACCTGCAAGCCTTCCCCTGGAAGTTTTCCACCAGTGGTCACCTGCGGGTCTTCCTACTGTATTTTTCCCTGCCTCAGATCTCCCTCCAACTGTCGGATCTACCTCCAGCCAGTCGGATCTCTCTACTGCTTGATCTTCCTTGGGAAGAGCCTTCCAGCCATCAGACCTTCCTCCAGCTCCCGTGGTCTCCCTCCAGGATTGCTAAAACTCCTCCCCGAGGCCATATCTATCCCCTGCAGGACCCACCGTAGCTGGTTCTTCCTCCTACAGTCGGAATCTTCTAATGTATCGGCAACCCAACTTCACTTTTTGCTTAGTTGAAATCATGGCGAACTCAGCCACCGAGCCTCTTCTTGACAGTGTACTTGAGTCCACCTGAGAATCGACATCAAACTCAATCTCTTCGCAAACCGAAGGCCCAGAAAATCACATGAACTTCTTGATCACCACTCATAAACTTAACGACTCTTATTTTCTCCAATGGTCTCAAGTCGTGTCATTATTTGTCAAAGGAAGCAGGAAGTTCGTCTATCTTACAGGGATGATTCTTGAACCTCCAAAAAATGACTCGGCTTATGAAGCGTGGGAGGTGGAAAATTCCATGATGATGTCTTGGCTGATTAATTCCATGGAGACTACGATTGATCGTTTGTATCTATTTCTTCCATATGCAAGTGCACTATGGACGGCAGTTCGGAATACCTCCTCTGATGTAGGAAACTCAGACCAACTTTATGAGGTTTCCAAGTAGATTCGCGAGGCAAAACAAGGATCAAGGACCATTACCCAATACTATAATGACTTGGTGGCCTTATGGATGGAATGTGATTTCTACCACGACTACACATGGGACTCTCCGGCTGATCTTTCCCTCTTCTAAAAAATTGTGAAAAGGGATTGTGTTCCAATTCATGGCAGGTTTAAACAAGGATGTCGACGAACTCTAGGGTAATATTCTTGGTCAGATACCCTTCAACTCGTACTGCATTAACTGAGGTATGCTGTGAAGAAAGTTGAAGATTTGTCATGCTTAACACTTCCATTCCTTCAGCCGAACCGTTCGTCTTGGTCTCTAATAGTGCTCAACCCTCCTCTACGTCATCACGGGCCAATCACTTCACTTGTGATTACTGTCACAAACCTAATCATACTTGTGACGAGTGTTGGAAGCTCCACGAGAAACCGACAAATAAACCTTCAACCAAATCCTCCACTTCTAAGGATCTCGATGCGACCTCAAAAATCACGACAGTACAAACGGCTCCCACTTGGAACATCTCAGAATTATCAGCCTCCATTAAGAGTCAGATGGAACACTTGATCAAACTACTTGGATCTAGTCACTTCTCTTCTGACTCATCGACCTCTCATATTCATCAATGTAACATCCTGGTGACACTCACTGTTTCTGCTTCTAGTCTGTGGATTATTGATTCAGGTGTCATGGATCATATGATCGGATGTTCTCAAGTCTTCTCGACATATTCATCATGCTCTGGGAGAGATACTGTTAAAATTGTTGACGACTCCCGTTGTTTCATTGTGGGTAAAGGGTCTGTTGTTCTAACAGCAGACCTAATTCTAGAATCTATGTTAGTGTACATTTATTAAAGTGTAACATCTTATTAGTCAATAAGTTGGCATATGTCTTTGATTGTGTTGCTCATTTTTCTTCTGATGTGTCTTTCAAGATCGTCATTCGGAGATGATGATTGGAATTGCTAAATGGGTAGTTGGACTCTACTCTTTTCAAAGGAAAAGCAGTGTTGACCAGGACACTTCATCCAGTAGTTGTAGTTTTTCAGTCCATTGAATGTCCTATTATGCTTTTACACTGTTGTTTAGGTTATCTCAGTTTTCAATATTTAAAATAGTTGCATCCTTTGATATTTACAGATAAAAATTTATCTAGTTTCAAATATGAGATTTGTAAGTTAGCTAAACCTTATCGGGTATCATATATGTCACACTCTAACACTCTATCCGCTCATTTTTCACCAATTAATAATGACTTGTGGGGACCCTTTTGAACGCCTAGTTACGCCAATAAATGGTGGTCCCTTATCTTGAATGATGATCACACTCGAATGACTGGAGTCTGTATCTTAAAAGATAAATCTCAAGCTACTGTCATTTTCAAAAATTTTCATTTATTCATTTTGACCCAATTCAAAACATTAATTCAAGTCTTTCGGATTGACAACAGCCGTGAATTTTTAAATCTATATCAAGGGATTTTTTGGTAAGGGGATCCTCCATTACGACTCATGTACGGATGCTCATCAACAAAATGGGATAGTCGAGCAGAAAAACTGACACCTTCTCGAAGTTGCCCGTTCAATTATGTTTCAATCAAATGTTCCGAAACGGTTTTGGAATGATGTCGTACTTACCGTTGCATATCTCATCAATAGAGTCCCATAAAAATTCACAAATTTTGGACCCCATCAGCAGTTAGCAGTCTTGAGGTCCTGTTTTATTATCAATCGGTTCTTCTCCACTTTATACCCCAAAATATTTGGGTGCGCGACATTTGTTCTGAACACTGCCCCAACTCGTATCAAACTTGTCAACAAAGCGCGACGTTTGCTTAGGTTGCGAAACTGAACACCATTCGGGTCCTATTATCCCTTTCTGTGAATTTGAAATTGCACTTCAAATATGTCTTTCTTAACGGAGATCTCACGGAGGCACTATACATGTCCCTACCTCAAGGCTTGGACTCTACTTCTTCCCGGGAATAAGTGTGTCCAATGCGAAAGTCCCTCTACAGACTGAAGCAAACCCCTCAGGCCTTGTTCGACAAGTTCACACAGGTGGTAGTGAGCTATGGGTTCTCTCAGGCCCAATCAAATCATACTCTCTTCTTTCAGCATTCCTCTAGTGGTCAAATTGTCATCCTTATCTTCTATGTTGATGATATTGTGCTCACATGTAATTATCTACCAACCTTGAAACCTCTTAAAGGGATTCTCGCCGCATCCTTTGAAATGAAGGACTTGGGCTCTCTTTGTTACTTTTTAGGCACGAAAGTTGTCTGGTTCTCTCAGGGCATTCGCCTTTCTCAGCGTAAATATGTGATGGACCTATTAACAGAGAACAACCTTCTACCTTACAAACCAATGGCTATTCCAATGGACCTGAATAGGAAATTGGATGATGTTCTCAATGTTTTTTCTGTGAATAAGGCACACTACCAGCTCCTTATAAGGAAACTCATTTATCTCGCCCACACACGCCGTGATATTTGCCACGCGACAGGTATTGTAAGTCAGTTCATGTATGCCCCCTATGACCACCATCTCACAATTGTGCATCGGATCCTCCATAAATTAAAAAAACACTTCGGGCTCTAGTTTGTTATTCTCGCACAACATCTCTCATTTTATTGCAGTTTATATTAACGATGATTGGGTCGGGTCAATCCATGATCGGTGATCTTTATCGGGGTTTTACTCATTTGTGTGGTGAAATCTTGTCATTTGGAAAAGTAAGAAACAATTGGTGGTAGCCTGAAGCAGTGCGGAAGTCGAGTTTCGCTCCATGTTCTTGGGAATTTTTGAAGCGCTCTGTTTACGCATCATGCTCCGCGAATTACGTATGTCGGTCTACGCTTCTTTATAATTGCTCTGTGATAATAAAGCCGCAATTAATATTGCTCATAATCTGGTCTAGCATGATTGCACTAAGCATGTAGAGATTGACCATTACTTCATCAAGTAGAAGCTCGATTTTGGGCAGATTTATGTTACATTTGTCTCATCCAGTGGTTAATTCGCAAATATCCCAATAACAAACATTTCTCGACGTTGTTTGGCGACTTTAAATCCAAGTTGAACATGATTGACTTCCATGCTTCAACTTGAGGAGTAATAGAAGTTATTTTATTAGAAATTATTTATATTTATTTTATTGCCTTGTTATTTTTTTTATATACATTTCCTAGTTTGTCTTTTTTTTATCTTTTCGGTGTTATTAGGAAAGATTTGGACATTATAGCTTTTTTTTTCTATACACCTTGTATCATGTATTTATACCCATTTTGCTGCAATAATATTATTTTGCTCTATTCTCAAAAGTTTGATAGATATGTATATGCATAAGAATTTTGTGGTATGCATGTAAAATTCCTTTTACTTTTTATTATATTTTTAAAACATATTTGTTTAGGTTGTTTTTTATATGATTTTACTTTTTGTTTTTGTAAGCACTCAATTCAACAAATATATTGAGCAAAAATCAAGATTGCTACGGGAAATGAAAGAAGAATGATCCAAGAAACACATATACCTAATGCATATAGAAATTTTGAATTATAAAGTGTGAATAATTGATGGGCCATTTGGGATCACTTTTGTTTTTTATTTTTATTTTATTTTATTTATGTTTAGATTTGAAATAAAATATATTTAGTCATTTAATTAAATTATAACTATTTTTAAAAACACTCGAAGCACTTGAGCCCCGTTTGACATCACTTTTTTTTTCAGTTTTTACTTCTGTTTTTAGGAACATGTTTGATCAGTATAATTTTGATATGCTTTTATTTTTTATTTTTAAAAACAAATCACTTGTTTTTAAAAACACTCAATTTTTTAAAAATAAATAGAAAACAAAAAACAAAAGTGATCCTAAATGGGGCCTTATTGTTTGGGGCACTTACATCTGACAATTTTTATGTATTTACATATCTAACACCTAAACTTTCATATTTAAATACATAACACTCTAATCTTTAGTATCACATCTAAAGTACCACTGCTAATTTTTAAAAGTGAAGTGCACCTGCTCATCCATAGGTTCATAACACTAAAGTGGCAAATGAAAATATCAAAATTTAGGTGTTAGATATGTACATACAAAGGAATTGCGTGGTATGTTTGTAAATCTTTCTAATTGTTTTCAAGTTTACGTGTCTTTACAGCTGCCCGGTTATCATATGCAGCTGTGATGATCCCTTGTTTGCTATTTCAGCTTTTTGTTTTGAGACCCAAGCCAAGACTACCAACGAAACCCAAACTCTACCAGTCACCAGCAGCTGCAGCAGCGGCAGCTTCAGTTACCGCAGCTTATGCTTTTGCAACATCCACCGGCACTAAGGACAATGATCCTGTTGATGAAAACCTTAAGAAAGAACAAGTTACTAGACATCCAGAGGCCGAATCTTTTGCTACTGAGATGCTAGCAGTAGAGGAGAAAAACCTTGGCTCTAAACTTGCCGATGTAAGACGAGAAAATGCAAAGGTTGAAGGAAACCTTGAAGATGTTAGAAATCGCCAGTCTTTATTGGCCATGGTGAATTCTTAAATTATTTGTGGAAACATCTCATATAAATGTTTTTGATCTCCTCAATCTTTTTCAAGCTTTTGAATTTTTATCCTGTTTTAAAGGAGCTCAAGGCAGTTCAATCACAACTAGAAGCTGAAAGATCAAGATGCTTCAAACTAGAGGTTTTATTAGTTGGAAAATTTACATACCTAGCACACAATTCTCATATATTTACATATCTCACATCTAAACTTTCATATTTACATTTGGTTCTTTGAACCCATACATAAAAAATATAGTTTACTTTTAAAAGGTGGTAATTGTGCTATTTTTGACGTGATATTAAAGATTTGGGTGTTTTGTGTGTAGATATGAAACTTTAGATGTGAGATACGTAAATGCATAAGAAATGCATGCTATTTATGTAAATGCCCCTCCTTAATGGTAACTTTTTCTGTAATGGTCTTCTTTTTGGATTGCATAAAACTGAAATGAATGTTTTTTTTTTTTCAATCATCACAGATACAAATTTCAGATATACAGAAGAGATTAGATTCAATGGTTTCTATAGAGCGTGAACTGGACATCCTACGGCAGGAGAGATCAAATATGGAGCAAGATATGGCTCGAGTGCAGCGACAAAGTTCTGGCGGTCTTTTGCGTTGGATGACCGGTTAAACAATACATGCTGAGAAGTAAGTTTGCGGCGATGGACTCCATGAAAATCTATAAATTTTGATCTTGCTGCAAAGGTTTACTATGGTAGTAATTAATTGTTCCTTTTTTAGGACCTAATCAACGCACAGAGTTTAGGCTTTTGCTTACCTGTGGGGTTAACGAGGTTTGCCTGTTCTTCGTCGTGCTCTTTCAATATTCACCCTTTGTTAATTATTCTACTACATATCTAAATTAGTCTGTTACTACTATTCTTAAGCATTATATATAAATATATACTCATATGTGGTGGGCCTTAAGTTACGACCTTATGATTCATAGACTAAACTCACTCTGTTAAGTGATTGCACGACATATTCTTTTTGAGGTTGTTTTCTGTGGAATTCAGATATCTTGTTTTGTTGAAGCTTGTAAACATGTTATTGAACTCACAAAATTGCAAGAAATGATTTCTAGTGTATATTGTTGAACTTTTAAAAATTGGGAGTAATACATGTCAGTGTTGCAATCAACGGTTGATGTTAACTTTTTTGCTGCAAAGTTCTTGAAAGATGTTGAGGCGAAAATGGCCTATTAGATATTTGTAATCCACATTATTTTCATGTGTCTAACATTTTTTATTTATTTATTTACTATCTGAAAGATAGATGTAGGCGTAAAAAGACATGGGCATATGTGTAAAAATGACGTTAATTTATTTGAAATTAAATGAAAATATGACACTGAATAGGTCACAATGGAGAAAAAATCATTTAGCTGATCCCATTTAGTGGGATAAAGGCTTGTTGTTGTTGATGTATTTATATGTTTTAATGCCTAAATTTTAATTTTTATATTATATTACTTTATCTATCTATGAAAAAGTGTAAATAACATTTTTAAAGATAATATTTTTTATGTTATATAAAAGATTTTAGTGTTGTAAATATAGAAATTGAAGTTCAAAGTATATATGTAAATACATAAGAGTCGTGGGGTATGTATGTAAATGCTCCAAATCTCGTATAAAAAGAGTTTCAATCATTTAAGTAATTATTGAAATCTTTTTGCGATTTGTATACCATAACTCGTGAAATCTTTATGTAACGACGGATATATATGATCGTGTTTTATTTCGTAGTTGAATATATCGTGAGACAGTTCGGTCCATATCCGGTGCGGGCGTTAGAGCATTGAGAGGACCGGGAAGGACACACCTCTGGTGTACTACTTCTCGTGCTTACCATAAACGTTGTTTATTTTGCAGCATTTTTTTTTTTTTTTTTTGTGGTAAGCTTTTAGAAAATAAGGAATTACATGTTAAAACATTGTCGCTAAGTGTAATAAACGGTTCTACCTTTTCTTATCCTACATAAATCCTGGTGCTAGATGCCTCTTGAAGGCAATTCTAATATTTTAAGGGATTGTTTGGAATTAATTTTGTAAGTTATTTTTGTTTTTTTTTTATTTTAAAATTGTTTTTTTAATTATTTTTTGAAGTTTATTTATACACAAATTAATATGTTTTTTAAAATATTTAAAATATCATTTAGGTGTTTTAAAAGTCAATTATATTTTAATTAAATAGTCAAATATTTATTGTTTCAAAATAAAATAAATTAAAAATAAAAAATAAAAGGGACCCGGGATCGACTCTAAATTTATGTTTTTTTGGAATTATTGCAGCTTAAGGTGTACACGTTTATATGTTGTAGGGACGGTTGTAGCTTAATATGAATTAATTTAGAAAATATAATCATGCTTTGCAGATAAATATCATTGATAAATTAAATTTATGATGTAGTCAATTTCCTTAAACATGTTAGGCGTCATTTGAAAGCATTTTATCTTTTGTTTTTTTTATTTTTTATTCTATTTTATTTTATTTTATTTTATTTGTGTTTTGGTTTCAATTAAAATATGATGGAGTGCTTTTAAAAATATTCAAAACATTTTAAAGATATTTTGAGAAATTCTAAGAATAATCACCCGAAACGTTACTATTTACAAATTAACCGTTTTGAACTATTGAACTGATGTATTTACACATATCAGGTCCAAGCTAATTAAATTTTGATAAAATGAAAATTATAGGCTGGGGTTTTACCATGAATTCTGATATTTGAGTGAAAACTTGAAAATTGGATGAAAGAGGGCGGTTGCTTTGTAATTATAATGTTTTCAGGTGGTTTGTATGTAATTGCCCCTAAAGTTATACTAATAAAATATTGTGTGCGCCAAAACTGCCAGCACGAATCTCAGAGGGATCGGGTGGACAAGAAATAATTGAAGTCTTGAACCAAAAAGCTCAATCTGAACTCCCTTCTGACGATTGATTGCTTTTTTGAGTCGACTGATATACAATGTTGAGACGGACCTTGTTTAAGGACCCAGGGTTTCTCGGGGACCGGTCCATCTAAGGACCAACTGCTCGGTTGAGTCGCCCGATATATGGTGTCGACAGATTTGATCTGCAGACCTAGCTTAATGTCCAAGCTACATGAGCCTCTAGTAGGGCCGACCTTTCAAAATTAGTCTATCGATCGTTTTCCCTCGATTGGAACAATCTTCTTGCGACTGATCGCTTTGATCGGTTGAACTCCACACGTCTGTCATTTGATAGTCATTGTAAATCACTCAAATTGTAACAAAAATCTAATATTAATTGTATTTAGGGCGGTTGTCATAACCGTTCCTTCATATCCATGGTTGTACAATTAGCCCCCTATAAATAGGAGGTCAAAAGATAAATAAAGGACCTTCCCCCCAAACTCTCTTAAGGCATTACTCTCTTTCCTTCGCTTTCTCTATTCTAATGCTTGAGGCTTGTATTTCCGAAGAACAACTTAGGATTCAACATCATAAAAGGTGGTGTGGTGAGTGTGAACATACCCAAGACGAGAAGCAGAGCAAATTATGAAGGAGAAACCTCGCAAAGAGACATAACATCAATGGAGTTTAATAGAGAGATAATGTGTCAAGACATCCAGGAGGAGGTCCAAGCATTGCGGATGCATATGATGGACCAATTTGAAGCCCTACAATAGGCAAAAACTCAGAGGAACGATCAACTGACACTCTTGGAGGGAGAGTCTTCGAGAACTAACTCCCAGAGGGTTTTTTTGTGAGAATCCACCACCTCACAACGGTTAGGTTGGTGATCAACAGACTGGAGGGCAAGGGGACTCCCAGCATGCTGACAGTGCGGGATCGCCACCGACGATCATGCGTCGGGTGGATCGAGTAGGAGCGCCCAACTGACCGACTGCAAGCAGAGCCTTTTCTCGATGATATCTGGAGACTACACCCCCAAAGAAGCAAAGAATTTCTCATTCAGAACCTTACAAGAGGAAAAGTGGCTCAGCCGACTATGTGGCTTCTTTTGAATTAGCGGTCGGAGTCTTGCAGATCGACGATGCGATGAAGTGTCGATTTTTCCTGACCACGTTGAAGGGGTAGGCTCTTCGGTGGTTCAACAACCTACCACATGGGATCATTCCATCCCTCTATGAATTTAGGAGTCTCATTTTGTCGCTCTTCGCTTACGTGCAGAAGTAGAGAAAGGATACTGAGACTCTGCTCCATATCAGTTAAGGAGAGAACAAAAGTTTGTGGGCTTACATTACTCAATTCTAGAAGGTGATGCTAGAAGTGAAAGATCAATAGCCTCTCAACTCCAGAACCGACCTAAAGCAAGGAATCGGTCGCAGCTGATTTAGGTATGACCTAAACCTACTCAAACCACATCGTTGCCGAGGAAAACCTTATGGACTCCTCAGAGACCAAACCGATGGCATCCGCCGCCGATCGTAGAGGCGAAAGGATCGAGATGACGGGAAAAGGTCGAAGGGCGATCGAGAGCTTCTGAAGGTCGGAAAAATGATAATCCTCGGTCTCGAGATAACCGAGGAAGTAACAAGACAACATGGTTAGAAGAACCATTTTGACCAGCGGTCGACGCAATACTATGAGTGACCACATGTATATTAGGAGATGTAGAATTCAATGCCTCTGAATGTATCGATGACCAAGCTAGTACAGGCCATTCAAAACAAGGACAGTAGCTAAACACTTTCCCAGCACTGACTTCAACCTACAATGCTTCCAAGAAATTCCCTGGAGATGGGGAGATAATCATAGCCCAAGGGAACCTGGAGCAATTAGAAGTTGTTACCTTCAAGCGGTCACCAGTGTTGACCACGAATCTCTTGACATTCAGATCCTTGGAGAAGGGGGTCTAGAGACTAGTCAGCCCATCTTTCAGCTGCCTGTGACTGATAGGGAGGAGCTCTGTAAGGTTTTTTTTTTATCAATGAGAGTTTTGATGCATGACAAAGGAATCCACTAATCTAAACCCTCCACCATCGGGACACATTCGTCTGGCAGTCAATTAATTTTTTTTAAATATAATACTCATCAATATTTGTATGTGTGTGTGTGTGTGTGTGTGTGTTAAATTATAATTGATGAGTAGTATTTCGAGCCAAAATGAGCAGAACACGAACGGACAAATTTTTGTTCATGTTCGGCTCGTTAACTTAGCGAACGAATAGCCTTTTAACGAGCCGAACATTGAGATGTAATCAAATTTGATGTCATATGACAGTGCTTTTCCTTTTTTTTTTTTCTTTTTTTTTTTCTTTCTTGCTGGTCGAGAGCTGGTTTGTGAGGGCTAACCTTGCTATTTATGATCTGCCTGTTTCGTGTACAAATTGGAATTAAATTTAAAACACAAAAAAAAAAATAAAAAAATAAGAAAATAAATAACCCGAGCTCTCCTCCCCAACTCCTCTCGTCACTTCAACCGAGCACGCGACACCAAACACCCCACCCCCTTCCTCATCTTCTTCTCCCTAGGCCGAACCCTACTCTCGCCGGTGAGCCTCCCTCCGGCGACGCTCCGGTCAGGTAAGCCCTTCTGCGTTCTTTTTTTCTGGGTGTGTACCAGAGAGAAAGAGAGGGAGATTTACATGCATGCCACTCAATTTCTATATATTTGCGTAAAACAAAAAAACAAAGAGTTTACATATATACCACTTAATTCCTAGAGCACAAAACAAAATCAAATATATATATATAACAGACATGCCACTCAATTTCTGCATATTTGCACTAAACAAAAAAGAAGAAAGAAAGAAAAAAGTTTACATGCATCCCACCTAACTCTTATGATTTAAAAAAGAAGTAAAAAAAAAAAAAAAACATAATAAAAATATGATATTCACCTATTGTTTGCCTATTTGTATTATGCACTATTCAAATCCATAGAATTTCTCTATATGAAATTTCTTATTTATGAGTAAATTGCCAAAAGAATCCCCTATATTTTAAAATATATATATATATGTATATTGTGTAGCGTACTCAGATCAGTTGGTCG